GCTGAACGGTTTCGATGGTTTCGATGTCTCCTGACGAGCATAGTGTTGAGAGGGCTTGTGTGAAGTTCCTGCTCGTTGTGACTATGACCCAGAGTTCCCAAAGCTCGCTTCGTAGTGGGTACCCAGGCACAGGCTTCAGTTGGGGAGATGAGCTGCAAGTGCTGCTTACTCGAGAGCCGTTGGTACAGGAACTTCCCTGTAACCCCGCGTGCAGCTTAACCTCCCTCCACAATGCATGGCACTTGACATGGTCATTGCTGCCCACAGGCTTGGAATCCCGCCGCGGAGGAGCAGTGTTTCGACAGGTGTCACTGGCTGGGGCAGGAGCACGACGTCGTGATTACAAAGGTGAGTCGAGCGACAACCTGCCTGAGCAGTTGCTCCTGGTCACAAAGAAATGAATGATTTCCCAAAAAGCTTTACTAGATTTTAACAAGACTTAAACCCACAACTCGCCCTAAACTGAACTTGCGGAGTTGTCTAAAGCGTGGGCTTTGGATTGTAAGATCTATGAGCTGCAACCCGCTTCCCATGAGAGTCGGCATCGGAGTGGGCCAGCCCTGGGAGCCGCCTGAGGGACCGGGGTGTCACTGCTGCTTGGCGTCTGGCAGCCACACGGACGCTGCGCTTGGTGCCGGCAGCGCCTGTAGCTGCGGGAGCGGGTGGCTGGTCTCATTAGTGCCCCATCACTAACGAAACTGAAGACAGATTCTCTTCTACGTTGCAAAGAAGAGAGAGATTCTTCCAATAACCTTTGAAGGGAGAAAAAGGCAAAAGAATTAAAATGCCAAATTTTTCCTCCAGCTGCTTTATCCCCCTCCCTCCTCCAGTGAGGAGATAACATAGCTGCGCTTTAGGTGCTCTGCTTGGGGAGTTTTGTTTTCCCAGAGTACCTAAACCTCTTCTCCTAAACCTGTAATTTAAAAAATTCCCTTCATTTCAGTGAGACTTTTTCTGTATTTCAGTTCATTGTGAAGGATTCTGTGGAAGAAAACATGCTGAAAATTCAGACCAAGAAGAGGGAACTGGCAGCAGGAGCTTTTGCTGCCAAAAAGCCATCAGCAAGCGAAGTAAAACAGACCAAAATCAATGAAATTAAGACTCTAATGGATTTATAGCTTGAAACTGTGGTCTTCCGAGAAAACACTAGTAAACACTTCAGTAAATACTGCTCTTCCAGTTACTTGTCTTAGGCTAAATTGTCATTTTGTTTGTGTTTTGGTCAAAACACAAACACTTCAAATAAATGACAAAAATGGGTTTGCTCCTAAATGTGAATTTGGAAGTTCACAAACTCTTTTGCTCTCCCAAAATCTTCCCAGTGTTCGCTTCTTCAGAGCGTTGCTTAGCACATACCACTCACAAGAACCCAAAAATCCCCCAGAGCAGCAGCGTGCACCCAGGCGGTGCAGCCTGCGAGGACGTCAGCCCCGCTCGGAGCGACGGGGTGGAAGAGAGACGTGTGTGCCTGGTGCTCTTCAGGCTAAACCCCTGGGAAATGAAGCTGCTTCCTGCTAGCCCAGCAGACCTGGACTGTGTCGGAACAGGCGGTCATTGGTCAGCTGACGGGTTCTTCCTGCTGCAGCCTCTGGTCCTTTTGACTCAAACTTTAGTTTTTTGACTCAAACTTTAGCTTTTTTTTTTTTTTTAACTGTTCCTTGATAATCCCCGGGTGCAGCAGGAGCTTCCCCTGTTGGTGGTGCCCCAGGAGCTAGTGAAGGTGAAGGACCTGGATTTGTAAAACGTTTTCTTTTAATATTTCACTTCCTTTAAACAGAATTCCACCGACTCGGGTAAAAGTGAAGGGTTGGTGGTTGGGATAAAACGCTACAGTCGGGCCTGCACCGCTAACGTGCTGCTTGCCTCCCGCTGGTGCGGGGAACGCGATGGCTCTGCTGCCCGCTGAGCTGCCCACTCACCAGGGAGCCCGTTGGCCCTTGCAGCACACTGGCTGGATCCTTTCAACAGCGGCAGCTCTCCCATGCCCGTTCACCCCACCGAGCGCTGTCTGGGTCCAGCAGAGCTCTCGGGAGTGCCAAGTTCCACGCGTCTTGACTTGGAGGCAGCGTTGGGAACCCCTGTTCCCGCACTGTGGAGTTTGAAATAGCCCTGAGGAATCTCGGCTGAATATGAGCTGAGTGCTCCCATCTTCCCTCTTTCCGTCTGAGCCTGGGCTGTTCCAGGCTTTCTTGACACCGTGCTGCCTCCCTGCAGCACACTTCGGCCTGGAGGCAGGAACGGCTGTTCACATTCTATGTTTAGATTCAGGAAGTGTGTTTGGCAGCAGAGAGGTGGAATCGGATAGCTTCTAATGCCTGTCAACTCTCCCTATGCCTTAGACACCAGGCAGCTGATTCCGAGGTGAATTGCAAACGTACGGAATCAAAAAGGACTGACAAATCAAGGGAAGATGCCTGGTGCTTGGAGAAGGAGCCAGTGGAAGGAGAGAATGGAATTTGGGATGTGTAACCCAACGAGTTGCTGCAGTTTCTGGGGAGCTAGCATCTTCATTATGGAGAAAAACCTGGTTCAAGTCCGAAGAATTGAAGAGGTGAGTGGCGGAAGACGCGTGGACCCCAGGAATTGGTTGCCGCTGGGAAGCTGACACCAAGAAAACAGCTGCACCCGTTGGTCTGTTGTGCAGCGTTTTCTGTAAGTTAAACTTGGGTGTTTTGTGGTTCAGATTCTGAGGTTTCATCTGGAGAAGCAATTTGTGGTTATGAATGAGATCTGGCTTTGTGTCGTTCTTCCCCAGTGAAAGGTTGTGAGGAAGAGCTACGTTTCAGGGGCCAGTCCAGCTGCATCGTTATGTGCGTTAAATTGGGCTGACGCTTGCAGGGCTGTGTTATTACCCTTGTGAAAACTGTCACTGGTACTGCTTTTCCTCTGCTCGATGGCTTCCCTGTTCTAAAGCCAGTGGAGTTGTATGAAGATGTACGGGCAGTCAGGGTCTCTCCCAGGGAAGTTGTTTCTGTACCTGAGGCAGGGGAAGGTCAGAGCTGAGGGCAGGACAGCCCTGCCTGACCCGGCGGAGCTGTTTAGTGACTCGGGTGGTGAAACCCACAGTGGTGAGTTGTCAGGAGCTGTAAGTAGTCTGGCTACTGGCCTGCTCTTTCTTGGAGCTGTGGGCTGTTCCGTGGCGCACACTAGACATGAGCGTTTGGAGTTAGGAACCGAACGCTTTAGTTCCAAAGACTGAGCTGTTAGTCCATCCTGCTGGGCTTTTCCTACCCCGACAAAACATGCCAAGGGGGAAAAAAAAGGCTCCTAAACTCTCAGGAGTTGCTCTGAGCTGTCACTACCCTAGAGCATGTGCCTTAAAGGCACATGGAGTAGCGATTGAAGCACGGCTGTGGTTCTTCTGAACAACACTGTTTTGACTACAGTGCTTCTACTCAAGTTATGGCTGTGAGTACCTTCATCACTGCCACCTGCTCGGAACTGCATCGAGTGCTGCTACTACAGGGGACAAAGGGAATCTCTCTGTACATGCTGCCTGCAGCAGGTGGGGAGGAGATAGCGGCAGATAATGGCATAAAGGTTTCTATTGAAAAGATGCTGCAGCTCGGCACAGATGCTGTACCTTTCACTTCCCTGAGGCTGTGGGTGAACGCTTGACCATAGTGGGAGTCACACAGGCTGGGACAGGATAGTTGTCAAGGTTTTCTTTCTTTGCTGCCTCTGTTAACCCCAAACATGCAGGTTTTCATCTTCTTCACCACCTCTCCTCACTGTATCGCGTGAATGTAACAAAACTGACACGCTAAACTCCATTTTCAGGTTGGTGCTGTCTTATGCTTTTATACGTTCAGTTCCTTCAAACTAAGCTTAAAAACCCGGGCAGAGCCAGTTCTCCCTAGCACGGGTACAGATGAGGACAAGTAGCTGAGCCGGCTCAGCTGCCTTTGCCAAGAAAGCCCTGTACAGTTTCCCAGAGCATGTTGTGAGCCCGTGTGGTTACCACTGCAGCCTGTAACTAGGAATCCCTCCTGCCTCCACAGCCCCGCACTGGTATCCTAAAACCCAGCACAGCAAGAGAAAAACTTGCCCTTGCTGCACGGCAAGGGCAGCCACAGCCCAGTTCAGTGCTACACGCCTTGGAGTAGCTGCGTACTACTCTGGGCCGGACCCCACCTTCAGTATTTCTGCTAACTGGTGACTAAGTAATCTTACAGCAATTAAGCAGTGAAACCAAACTAACTCACACCCAGATTCCATCATCTGCTTCACCAGCAAACGGTGGAGCTTGGTGAAGGTTTTTCTCTCTAGGCTGAAAGTTGAGCTCCCTCGCAGCTTCCTGCAGAATCCTCCTTTACTAGGAAATAACACATCAGTCGTTCTTGGTGTTTCTGGGCCAGTACAAAGTGCAGTGTTCGGCCTTCGACAGTCAAGTGATTTGTTTCTGTTTAGGCTTTTGCCTAAAGGCTGGATCCCAAACTCAGTGCAGGTAACAGCCCCTCCCCGTTTGTCCCCACATGCCCCCCGTACTGTGGTCCCAGCACTTCACTTTTCCATGTGTCTCAGAACAACCTGGAGCCTCTGTGGGGGCAAAAAAGCACTGGCTTCCATAGTCTGCACACGTGGAAAGGGTAGATGCGCCTACTTCAGCACCTGTTTAGTCGTTCTTTGCAAAAATAGCATCGCCATTGTGCTTAAAAATAAGGTCAGAATGTACAGGGCACGCGGCAGGGACGAGGCTTCAGCCATCGAGAGAAGGATGCCCACTTCCCAGGCCCTGTGGTTCTTGTGTGAGTACTTTGAGTGGGTACATCCTCTACTGCCCTGTTCTGGCCAAGGGCAGTCGGGAAGGGGACTGGCGCAAACAGCTCCCTGGCAGGTGACCACACGCCCTGTAGGTAACTACAGACCTGAAGAGCTGGGCAGTTGGTGGCGAGGGCTGGAATAGCACTACCAAGGCTCAGGGGTTATACCGCTTTAATGGTTTAGTCAGATGCTTCAGAGCTCCCTCTTTTGGTTCGGGAGGGTAGGGAAGCCAGAAATGCATGACCACTTTTTATTTTTGTATCAAGTGCAACATTGCAAGTAACAGATACAACTCGGTTTACTAGTGCTGTAGTACACAGAGCTGAGAGCTGATTCTGCCATGCTGCAGGCACTGTGCGTAAGAACCTGGTCAAAACCTCAGTGCAATTGGGACTGGAAGAGCAAAGCAGTGCTACTGCCGTTCATCTGTCTGTATCCCACGTCCTGAACATGTGGATGGGAAAGCAGACCGGCTACCACTAGTGTATGAGCAACCCCATGAATTAGATTTTACATCTAAAACAGCAAGCAAAGGAAACAATGCTAATCGCCTTAACGCGGTGGGGTAGCAAACCCAGCTTCAAGGAGGATGTTGAGCCAATTGATCACAACAGAAGAAAACTTAAGCTGAAAACACCTGGTTTTATCTAGTAGGGAGAACTGGAAATTGGGCAGTTACAGGTGGCCCAAAGGAATTCTGCTTCCTAGCTTTTGTTTAGTCTTCATGTGTAGCACTGCAGAGGCCTTCAGCCAAGGTTTCACCAAGCTATTACCAAGTGTAACTGACCACCACCTACACCTTCCTAGCTGTTAGTTCTGAAAAAGTCCTTGCATCACCACCGACAGGCGTTTCTACTGCAGGTAGGTATCCAGCTTCTTCTTGATGTTGTCAAAGGAATCCACTCCCATATAGTCAGCTTGTCCCTGTTCCCACCGTTCCTTGCGTTCTTCTGAGGACACAGTTGGCAATACTGGTGACGGTGCCGATACTGATACGTGGGACACTGCCTCTGTAACCTCTGCCTAAAAGGAAAGGAGCGTAAACAAAGGGAACCACTTGGCATAGCGAAAGTGAGCAACAGGCCAGAGAGAAGGGACAAGGCGGCGGAGTTCTCATGCACAGCAGCAAGCACGGCCGACGGATGGGGACGGTGCAGCTTTCCTAGCAAACCACAAAGCAGTCACGGAAGTTGGCAGGGAGAAAGAAAAGTGGAAGTTCTTCGTACCTCTCTACAGAAGCCACAAGAGAAAGCCAGAGTATAGACCAAGGCCGAGAGCTGCAAACAGTGCGTTAGAAAGGGGTGAGATTAGCAAGGGAGAGCACGTCTTGAGAGATCAGTAACTTTGCTCTGAGAGAGGCTGCGAACTTAAACTGGCCCCAGTACTGAGCTAGGACTGGGACGGCTGGGGGCTGCTAAGCCTGCAAACAAGGGGCTGAGTGAGAAGCATTTGGCTTTGGCAATTATTGGGGTTCACCACTGCCCATCTGTCTCCGCTCCCCAGCTACCTTAAGCTTACCTAGATTCATTCACCACGCGAGGTCTGGGTGTACCCACCGTATGCTGAACGGGGGTGGTGCTGCTTGAGAACCGCAGGGGCTGCAGCATGTTTAGGGTTCGGGCCCTTCTCTGTACGTATTCCAGAACCTCCTACGGGGTGGTGTCTGCCGCACCAGCAGCTGCTTACGTAGCTTGGTTCAGGCCAGCAGGCAGCTACGTGACAGGCCACTGCAGCATGCGTCTCTTCTGCAGCACTGGGTATTCCAAGCTTCAAAGGCCACCACCAAGAAACCCTGCACTCCACAAACTGACCCGCACCCGTGCCGTGAGCTGGGCCGAGGGGCAGGAGATCGCTGGGATGGTGAAGGATCTCTCAGCCACTGGGCTACTTGCCACAGGAATATTAATGGACGTACCATGCTTACACCCGTGGTAGTTTCTTTAACAATGCCGTGCTGCTCTAGCAGAGGCACAACGTTGGCTGTGTAGGTATCCCACCACATGTTGAGGAATTCAGGATGAACTATTTTAGGGTCGTCCACGTTGCCCTTCACGCTTTTCGTTCTGGAGTCATACGTATAGTTCCACGGCTTTGTGCTTCCTAGGAAATGCACCACTTTGGTATTTGCACCAAACCTGTTGGACAGAAACAGTTAGGACCCACGGTTTGTGCAGGTGGCTAGAAAACAAGAGCTCTGACTGGCAGCCAGGTTCTTTTAACCTGCCATTTCTGTAGGTGCCCACAAAACAGAAACAGGAATGTATTTAGGATGCTAAACACTACGTTGTCAAACTGCCAACGCCTACAGGGACTGAAAGCATCACTGTACAGCGAGAAAATGCCAACAGCATTCTACGTTATGCTAGTCAGAATACAGCCAAAACCTAATGGTCTGGGCAACGTAAATACTTACAGCCAACTCAAGTCCTTGGATAGTGATGTCCATAGCTCAGGAGAGCCGTCCCCAGCAGCCGCTGCAATCGGAACTGGGTTTAAAAGTGAAAAAGATTCTACTCCAGAGTCAGTGATCCAGGCAGTAGGCATTACACGCATTGCAGGTCCTGGTGCAGCAGGGTCTGACTAGCCAAGCAGCCCCTTCTCTAAACAACCGTCGTTTAGCCGTTGGGGGGGGTTTAACTCTTTTCAGTATGAACCTCTAGCTTTGTCCCGAACGGTACCAGGATGTTCTTCTGCATTAAAAAGGAGCTGTGCCCCTTTTGAAGCGGGTACCGCCAGGAGCCAGCAGCCAGCATCCCTTCATTCACTGGGCTCCCACTCGGGCTCAGCTTGAGTCAGCCTGCCAACAAGCAATACCAGTCTCCAGGGACCACGACTGTCTCGCCTGGTTCAGCTCACATGGCCCTGGGCTTTCTTCTCAGCGCGATCAAAACGGGTCATACTGCCAGGCTAGCTTGCCTCATGCCATTCAGCACACACCGGTCCCTCAAGGATTTCCCTTCCCACTCCCTGTGGCAGGATGTGGCAGGATCTGGCAGGAGAGGATGACCGTTTGTTGGCTGTCACAGTGCTACACAGCCTGGCTGTCTCCAGCTGCTGCTGTTCAGGGGAAGCGTCTCTGGGTACAAGTCAGGGCTGTTGAGGTTAGAGGATGCCCACAAGTGTTGCTATATGCTCGTTCCAGAATCTGACCTGTGTCCTGTCTGCAGCACACCAGTACAACAACCACAGACACCAACCTGATGTTTTCAGGATCTGCTTCCTAGCTCTGCCGTGCTTTCTTTGGCCACGTAAGCTCAGCTGTTAGGAAGCTTTATGTCCACACTGGCCTCAGCAACTAATCCATCTTTCCCCATCTCCCAGAAAAGTCCTTCATCAATGCTTTGAAGTTAGAGAGCGTTTCTCATGAACTGGCAGTTTCCTTTTGCAAAAGGATTACTGAGAGGGCTGTGAAATCCAGCCTTGCCACAGAGCTGCGGAGCACTTGGCTACTGCTGGCAGCAGGGTTATATTTCATGTTACTCCAACTGCGGATTCTCGGCTGTAGCTGCTGCTCTAGCCCAGGCCCAACAGCTCAACTACGGAGCAGGGCCCTCTACGGCAAAGGGCTGCACGTCCAGCATTCCACTTCTGAAGGGCTGCTGAGTTCAGTTCAATGGAATTTTGTCAGGAGCCCCAGATCCAATGAGTCTTTTGTGGCAACAAGGTCATTTGTACATGCAGGCCACGTGACTAACAGCAGCCGTGGGAAGAGGACGAGCTCCACAATAGACGGTGGTTGACCGAACGCTCCCGGCCACGCAGTCGCTCTTAGCCCTGTGGGGGTCTCTGTAAGTAAGCGTTCCGCTTTTAGCACGGCAGCACTGCGCTGGCATTCTGTCACAAGACACTTCGCTTGGGCCAGCGAAAGCCCTGCTCACGCAGCTGCTGCCTCAGACACTCGTACCCTGACGGCATTCAGATACAAGCAGGGTTTTATGCAGTTGGCACTGTCCTCCCTCCCCCCCAACGCCTGCAGCTCGTGTATAACTTTTCAGCTTCCCATCCCTCTCCTGCCCCTCCTGTGTGTATTCAGTGACCCCAGCACTGACATGGTTCAGTCTGGGCCTGCTGGCTGGCAGGGGCCAGCTCCACATGCCCTGGGTGGCTATGCTCTCCATTTCATCTCACCGTCACCTACGGAACTGGCTGGCACCTGGAGAGGCTGTGGGGAAGAGTTCTACCTTCACATAGGTCTTGGTCACCCTGTTTACCCCAATGGTACAGGTGGATTAGGCTGTTACGTACCCCAAGCAATGGGGGTGGGGAAGAGGCGGGTTCTCTAGGTGGGAACAGTATCACCAGGGACAAGCTGAAGGTCAGCCCAAGCCAATTCAGGGGCTACTGCCTTCATTGAGAGCCACAACAGGCAGCATCCCCCACTGGAGTAGTGGCTCGTCCTTTCACAAGTGACCTGTCATACACAGGATCTAAACCAAGGTCGGTTACCACCAGGGATGAGTGATTTCAGCCCCAGCTTTCCTTCTGCATTTATCATGAGATGATTCATTTCATGAGTACTTCAACTTTTTATTCTTAGAGAGGAAACTCTTCTTCCTTCTCCCAGTAGCGGTCTCCCTTTAGAAAACCAGGTAAGCTCACACGCTGCCTGTTCGCTCTACAACAAAGTACTTCACATACACTTTGCAAGGTCTGTCTGCTCACAATTTCGAACTTACGCTTTAAATGCTGGAAGGTAGGAATATACAGAAGTGCTGCTCAAATTATAAATAAAGGGTAGATGTTTGCTCATGTCTGTTGTTGCCCAGCTGCTGAAGAAGGTGTTTAATAACCCCTGATCTGCACCTGAAAGAGAAAGCATTAATATAGGCTACAAGCATCAGACGGCTGGTTTAGGACCTTTTCCAGTCACTCCACTGATTAAGCGTCAGTAACACAGTTGGCACGTGCAGGAGTTTGGCACAGAGCACTAGCGTTGAGTTGCTGGAGCCTGTAAGCCTTGCAGCCTGGAAAATGCACAAAATGCAAAGGATGAGGCTGGTATGTCTGGGGTTAGTTTTGCTCAGAGATAGCAAGCTGCTCTCAAACACCGCCATTCGCTTTCTTTTAGGGCTTTAAGTTCAAGCTGTGTAAGGCAGCACAAACCAGGACCTGACAACTGAGTGTAGCTCAGCTCCGGGAAAGCTGGAGCTCAGATCAAGTGCCAGCAATCAAGTTCTAATCATTTTCACTGACAGACATGGAAACAACATCTCAGCTGTTGCCAGGGTTACGGCATCAGCCGTCTCCTAGCCCTGCAGCCCTGGTGCAGCTACCTGCACTGTGACTGGAAAAGGAAAGCATCTCTGGTCTCAGCAAGAGCTCTACTAGAGCCTCCTCAGATCCCTCCACAGTTCCTGGTTCTGCCCCAAATCGCTGTCGATTAACCCCGAAGTGAGGGCAACAGCCTAACCTCCAGCCAGACCTACAATGTTAGGGTCACCTCTCAGTTTGTGAGTAGGGGTCATGACAAGGTCGGAGGAGCCTGGAGTTACTTGGTACGTGAGCAGTAGGGCAGCTAAAAACCCAACCTCTGGCCCAAAGCAGCCTGGTTCGTGAGCGGCTGCTGAGCAGTAGACACTACTTATACCCATTCACTCTTCAGCGCAGCAGATGTACTTATCTGGAAGTGCTCACAGTTCCTCTCAAGAGGGAGGTCGAAGGGAGTCCCTCAACTTCCATTTCCTGCCTTCCTGCCTGTAAGTGTGCTCCCAAGGCACTGTTGCCCGACAGCTAAATGGGTTGCTTCAAAAAAGAGTTTTATGTGACTGTCCTTTTGTGAAGCGCCCAGCTTCAGTGCTGACTCAGGAGAGGGGTTTTTACTGGCCTGTGGTTACATTTAGGGCAGTGCTGAGGTTTACACCCTCACTGACATTCGGGCAGAACTGGCCTTTTGCACCTGCACCCGACACCAGGCATGCAGACAGTGCTCTGACCGGAGGCCGAGCATCCCATTCCAGCTGTCAGCGCACGCGGGATGTGGAGAGGAACTGCCTGGAGACAGTGCAGTCGCTTCAAGCCTCTCAGCCCGTAACAGAAAGAGAACACTTGGGAAGAAGTTGTGCCCATCACAGACAGCCCAGGCACCCAGCCCCATCCTTGAGCCGTGGTTCACGCTAACCTGGTGCTGTGGTGGGAATGCACACGTTGACATCAAGAGTGTCTGGAAGAGAAGCCTCTCGGCTCAGAGAGCTCCTAAGCGCAGGGGCAGGAACAACGTATTTAACTTCTTCTCCAGGACGTGCTCCTGCACAGCTGCTTTTACATACTCTGCTGTTTTCAGACCATGCGGCTGTGCCAAAGCAGCCACTGCCAGCAGCGTTCTGTGGCTCAGGTCAGACAGCGGCACAGCTGCTGCACAAACCAGTCCTCCAGCGTCAGGGGAAGGAATCAAGCAGTAGGTACAGTAGCTACCTATCTGAAACGCAGCCTGATGTGGGCTTAACATCTTGCTGCATTACAGCTTTGTACGTGAAAGCAGCCGTTTCACACCCCACACTGGAGAGCCAGGGGATTGTTGAAGCCACAGCAACAATCTGAAGGTATCAGTGCTACCAGATTTCTCTTAAAACCACTTTTTTTCCCCTTCCGCTACTTTGAGATATTATCTAGAATTCTGCATGACACATCCCTTCTCACCTGGAAAGGTGGCGGTCGAACAGAC